GGGAAGAGTGTGAGGAGTCCTCCCCCTGAGGAAGAAGGAGCGGCAGAGACAACGTGATGAACTGACTGTAACCCCCATTCCCTGTCCCCCTGCGCTGCTTGGAGCGGGGGGGAGGTAGAGAAAATCAGGAGTAAGGTTAAGTTTGGGAAGAAGGAAGGCATGGGGGGAAGATTTGGTTTTATTTCTCGTTATCCTACTCTGATTTGATTGGTAATAAATTAAACTAAATTTCCCCAATTCCAGTCTGTTTTGCCCATGACGGTAATTGGTGAGTGATCTCTCCCTGTCCTTAACTTGACCCACAAGCCTTTGTTATATTTTTCTCTCCCCTGTCCAGCTGAGGGGGGGAGTGATAGAGCGGCTTTGGTCCAGCCAGGGTCAACCCACCACACATTCAGAAGTAATGTTCTCTGCCTGGTATCTTTAGTAGGATGCTGGAACTTTGCTCCTGTTAAATGCCTGCCTGTGGGGCAGGACCTGGAAAAACCTGTATGAACCTGGAAACACCCGTATTTTTGAATGAGAAGTAGCAGGATGTTGTGGTTTAACCCCAGTTGGCAACTAAGCACCACCCAGCTGCTTGCTCACCCTCCCCACCCCCCGCCGTGGGATGGGGGGGGGAATCGAAAGAGCAAAAGCAAGAAAACTCGTGGGTTGAGATAAGAACAGTTTAATACTTGATATAATAGAATAATAGTAATAACAATAATAATAAATTGTAATGGAAAGTAAAACAACAAGAGAGAGAAAAACAAACAAAAAAAACCCCAGGGAAAGGAAATAAGAAAACCAAAACTGATGTGACCGCTCACCACCTGCCGACCGACACCCAGTCAGTCCCTGAGCAGTGATTGCTGCCCACTGGCCAACTCCCCCCAGCTTATATACTGAGCATGACATCACATGGTATGGAATATCCCTTTGGCCAGTTTGGGTCAGCTGTCCTGGCTATACTCCCTTCTTGTGCACCTCCTTGCTTGCAGAGTATGGGAAGCTTAAAAGTCCTTGACTTAGTTGTTGCTAAGCAGTGTTTATACTAAAACATCAGTGTGTTTTCACATTATTCTCATGCTAAATCCAAAACATGGCACTATACCACCTACTAGGAAGAAAATTAACTCCATCCCAGCTGAAACCAGGACATAGGAGAAGGTTGTGCAGAAACTTGGCAGTACGTTCATGAATGTATAGAAATCGAGGGCATGGAACACTTAAGGGGTTTTCTTCCTTTTGAAGAGCCGTGCAATGGACTAAACCACATCTTTAGGAAAAAATCATTATTGCAGTGGAAGGACATGAGGGAAGAGATTGGGGGGGCATCTGTGATTTCTGTGTGAACTCTTGTTCAAGTAACTGCTTTGCATGTGAGCTAAAGGTTTATTCCATACTTCTGATAGAGACTGTCCCTTGGTGGAAGCATCTAGATCTGATGTGGTTCTAGGAAATGAAACATTGAGATCTTTACATAGGTGAACTGAGAGCCCACCTTCTCCTATCAAATCATAACCTCCATGGGTAAAATACAGAAGGAAAGGACTCCAAGAAAGCTGCTTACCTTCCTGTAAATGGAGCCCTCTGAGATACCTTGGCAATAAATATATGCTGCTACTTTCTTAATACTGAGGCATTCTGTAGGATCTGGACTGTTGGTGGCAAAGGAGCTGAGTGACAGGTGAGCTTGCTCTGGGAGCAGGGTGTGAGGGTATTCAGAAACCATCCCAGTGGCCAGTGTTGGCCAAAAGACTCTGATCTGGAGTAAAGATATGCGTGGTCACTAAAAATAGGATTCAGCTCCAAGGTGTAGTTGTCTACACATGGGTACCTGTATATGAGCTAGAGGCCTTAATTCATACTATTATCAACGGGGGCTCAATTCAGTTGCCTACACATAGATGCCTAGTGCTGTTTCGGGTGATCTGGTTACCCTAGCAGTGCAGGTTTTTTGAAGATCTGGAGTCCTATCTGCCAGGTCTATATGGATGCCTTGGATGCTGGAGAGCATCTCGGATGTCACCATACTGTGTACATGCAACTGATTAGAGCCTTGAGATCTTTCAGTGGAGTCTGGAGAGCCATTCAGTTGATAAGGTCCAGGTGTCTACTTTAACATGAGTGGACTCCAGCAGAGCTGAACTCTGTTACTAGCTTAGAAATCTAGCTCACATGTAGGCATGAACATTTAGACACCTACGTTTAGGGTGGAATTTATATCCAGATTGGAGACACCTAAGTGTGGATTACAAATGGATGAGTTTTAAGGACTCTGCTTTTCATAAGGTAAGTGGGTTTTTCGACATCCCTCCTTTTCCCAGCTGTTCCCTAATCACTTGATCCTGCTTCTGTTACAAGACCTTCAATTGCCGTATTTAAACATTTTTTGTAGGCTCTCATGTAGTTATGGAATGTAATATATCAAGTGGCATAAATGGCTTGATTCCATTCTGGCAAGTTAATGATGAGGATGTTGATAGCTTTGATAGCACCTACAGGGAACAGTCTTATGAGTAAGTATCCTTATACATTGAATTGTAAGTGCATTTCTAGGTGAAGTAATCTGCAATAATTTGCAGTGAATTCACCATAAAGTTGACTACTGGTCAAATGTCAGTAGTCACTGAAAGACTGATTAGACGTCTGCATCAAGTACACTATGTTCTTATTGCTTGGTTTAAAAAAAATAAAAATTATTATAAATACTGATATATCTGATACAAATGTAATGAAGCAATCATATGCAGGTTTTTGTAATGCTGTTGTGAAACGTATAATGTTGTAAGGCTTATTTATGCATTTGTTCTTATGCAATCCTTTTTGCTAATAGATTAAAGCCTGCCCTCTATCATTAATATGGGAAGAATAGATTGTTCCAAGACAAAAAAAATCACCCCACTTATTTTTATTTGTGGAGTTGGTCCTTTTCTAAGTACAGACACAACTGCTGATCCTCAAGAACACAAAGCAGAAGCTCTTGTTGCAGGACACTTAGGGTTTTTTTTTGTTCAGGAAAATTAAACACAAATTAGGCTGATAAAACCAGCAATTTCTTTCGAGAGAGCAGGACCTTTGTTACTCAGTGACTGGTCTACGCTGTAGCAGAGTGTGGATGTGCTGTTTGCTTTCTCATTGTATCAATCACTGCTGTTAAATATAACCCTTAAAATGTAGTGCAAAGAAGAAAGAAAAAAAAATCTCAGCTGATCAGTTCACACTCATGCAGAAGCATTGCTGTCTCCACAAAGTGCCATCGGTGCAAAATATGGCTAGAGAGTTAGGTTGTGGACTGCTTTTAAAATGATCTTTTTCATTCATCTGTATCTGGCCTCCAGAAGGAATCGTGGTTCTACTTTGTCCCCAGGTTCCTTTAGTGGGAATTATTACTTTCATTATAGATCTGTATACTTGGTTGTTTGCCTATAAATATTAGGGCCCCAGCTTATCATCTTTAAGGCACAACTAAGTCCATTATTCTTTAGGGCATGAAGTTTCTCAGCTTCACCAGTTAAGACACACGTGCAACTTTGTGTAGCTATGTTAAAGTTATT